TGTGAAAATCCCTCCATGTATATACTTACACTTTGTTCCTATTGATTCTTTTAGTTGTACATTGTTAACTCTTTGACTACATTTGAATTGTTAATATTTGTATTTTATTATAGTTTCGTTTTACTACACCTTCACCAATTCCCCATGTTTCTTCCCGAACTGCACTTATGTTGTTTTACTTTATACTAAGTCTGGGCGGCAGCCATTTTGGTTTATCCCTGCTTTTGATTGCTTGACCTGTGTCGACTGGAATTGTGCATTTTGGTTGTGAATTGAAGCACTCTTCCAGAATTGAAAACACTCTGTGTTATAGAGCGACCAATTATTACCTTTTGAACGAATCTGTACGTGATCTATCCAGACAGGATAGAATAACATTTATTTGTGATGATTGGTAATTTTCTTGCATCTTCTATCAACTTCTTTATTTACTGTAATTTAGATTTAATTGATTGAACAATCATTGGTTGAATAGCCGGGTGATAATATTTGTTTAGGTAATGATTTACATTAAATTTATTATGAATTATAGAACCGCTAGTTACCCGATTACTTGTTCTGATTTCGACGGGAAAGGGCGCGTGTCTAAAATCCCCGGTCGGCTATTCTTCAACATCCAAACCGTAGTTTGGATCCTACAATTACAATGAAGACGCTAAAGATCAATTCTACAATAGGCTGCAGTCAATCGTCGAGAAGTGTCCAACAAAGGACCTGACCATTCTGATGGGAGATTTCAATGCCAAGGTTGGAACAGATAACGCTGGATATGAAGACATCATGAGACGACACGGACTGGGAGGAAGGAACGAAAATGATGAGAGATTTGCAAACCTATATGCCTTCAACAAACTGGTCATAGGTGGCACTATATTCCCACGTAAGTACATTCACTAAATCACATGGACTTCACCGGATCACACTACGTAAAAACTAATCGACCATATTTGCATCAACAAAACGTTCAGGAGGACTATAGAGGACGTGAGAACTAAAAGAGATGCTGATGTAACATTATATCATCACTTACTGGTCGCCAAGATGAAATTGAAACTCAAGAAGCACTGGACAATGGGGCGGACAACATCACAAATGTTCAATACGGCCTTTCTTCAGGATACTAACAAACTCAACAAATTCAAGATAGTCCTCAACAACAAGTTCCAGGCTTTTCATGATCTACTCATTGGAGAAGGAACTACTGTGGAGAGCAACTGGAAAGGGATCAAAGAGGCAATCACTTCAACATGTCATGAGGTCCTGGGTCACAAGAAGCACCATCACAAGGAATGGATCACTTTTGATACACTGGATAAGATTCAAGAAATGAGGAACAAGAAAGCAGCAATCAATACCAGTGGAACAAGAGCAGAAAAAGCCAATGCACAAGCTGAATAGACAGAAGTAAACAAACAAGTGAACTGGAGCATTAGAACCGACAAACGTAAATTTGTTGAAGATTTAGCAATGACGGCGGAAAAGGCTACAAGAGAGGGAAACATGAAACAATTGTATGACATAACCAAGAAACTCTCTGGAAATCACCGCAAACCAGAACGACCAGTGAAAAGCAAGGAAGGCGAGGTAGTCACCAAAATTGAAGAACAATGAAACAGGTGGGTAGAACACTTTAAAGAACTCTTGAATCGACCAGCTCCACTGAACCCATCCAACATCTAATCAGCACCCACGGACCTCCGAATCGAGGTTGGCTCACCAACGATTGACGAAATCAGCATGGCCATCAGATGAATCAAGAGTAACAAAGCAGAGGGACCAGACAACATTCCAGCAGAGGCACTAAAAGCAGACGTAGCGGCAACTGTAGGGATACTCCGCATTCTCTTCAATAAGATTTGGGATGAGGAACAAGTACCAACAGACTGGAAAGAAAGACACCTGATCAAGATACCAAAAAAGGCGATCTCAGTAAATGTGATAACTACAGGGGCATCACTCTTCTCTCAATACCAGGACAAGTCTTCAACAGGGTATTGTTAAACAGGATGAAGGACTGTGTAGACGCCCAACTTCGTGACCAACATGCAGGATTCCGTAAGGATAGATCGTGTACAGACCAAATCGCAACTCTACGGATCATTGTGGAACAATCAATTGAATGAAATTCATCACTCCACATCAACTTCATTGACTACGAAAAGGCATTTGATAGCGTGGACAGAACAACACTATGGAAGCTTCTTTGACACCACGGCGTGCCTCAGAAGATGGTCAATATCATACGGAATTCTTATGTTGGATTAAACTGCACAATCGTGTGTGGAGGACAACTGACAGACTCGTTTGAAGTAAAGACCGGTGTCAGGCAAGGTTGATTACTCTCACCCTGTCTCTTTCCCCCGGTGATCGACTGGATCATGATGATGTCAACATCTGAAGGGAAACGCAGGATACATTGGACATCTAGAATGCAGCTGGACGACCTAGACTTCGCAGATGATCTGGCCCTCCCATCGCAATTGCAACAATAAATGCAGGAGAAAACGACTAGTGTAGCAGCAGCCTCAGCAGCAGTAGGTCTCAATATACACAAAGGGAAAAGCAGGATTCTCACATTCAACACAGCATGCACCAATCCAATCACAATTGACGGAGAAGATTTGGAAGATGTAAAAACCTTTACATATTTGGGCAGCATCATTGATGAACAGGGTGGATCTGATGCAGATGTGAGGGCGCGGATCGGCAAAGCAAGAGCAGCATATTTATAACTGAAGAACATCTGGAACTCAAAGCAACTGTCAACCAACACCAAGGTCAGGATTTTCAATACAAATGTTAAGACAGTTCTACTGTATGGGGCAGAAACCTGGAAAACTACGAAAGCCATCATCCAGAAGATACGGGTGTTGATTAACAGTTGTCTACCCAAAATACTTCGGATCCGTTGGCTGGACACTATTAGCAACAACGTACTGTGGGAAAGAACAAACCAGGTCCCAGCGGAGGAAGAAATTAGAAAGAAGCGCTGAAAGTGGATAGGATACACATTGAGGAAAGCACCCAACTGCGTCACAAGACAAGCACTCACATGGAATCCACATCATTACTATTAGCAGTACCGTCAAGGCTGTGTATAACCGATATATATTTCTTGACCATTTACATGACTCATGACAGAACTTCAGAAAAAATTGGATTTCGTGAACGATGACCATTAGTTTCAATATCAGTTAGACAAACAAAACCTTACATTTGTATTCATATCCCGTTAATGCACTATGCCTTTCATGCAGTCCAGAAATTAGATATCGGCAGCATTTATAGCACTGTACGCAATTACATTCAAATACTTAAAGGTCACTGAACTCATCTAGACTGACATCATCCTCCTTGTATCTCGATAATATGTGGTACCATAAAACTATCACAGAGAGTAGCACACAAATTCAAGTGCATTATTGAATTGCATAGTTGTTTTCAGGAAACTCTGGAGGTGTAAAACTCCAAAACAAATAGTTCTGTTAGTCCTTCACATTGATGCTGACCTCAGCAGTTTAACTGGACACATCCCAGCCGAAGGCGCTCAGCTACAGATCCGCAGCAGATGATGGGTGTGCACATCATGCTGCACATTTCTTGCAATTGTCAGCCAGCTTATACCAAATGCTTCATAACGTATCAATAACTTTCCAAGTATACCTTCGAAACCCTTCATTTCTGAATTTAATTTGGTTGGGTTGGTATATTTTGATTATAAAGGTGTTACGTGTTAAGGGGTTGATAAACCCCGAATAACCGAGGTACTTTAAAACCTTACCAGTTGTGGCTGTACTGAACATTACGTGCTGAAAATCGGCTATAAACATCATGGTAGAAGATATAGATTTGTTCTGAATTCCAACCCAGTTCGTTAAATTGTCCGCTTCATTTAAGTTTTTAGATGCATCTTGAGTAAAACAGTTTGAGTCTCTACACTTAGTCGATCCTAAAGTAGGACGTTGGTTTGGGTCTTTAGGCGGACACAGTGACTGGTTATTACGGTAGGCTACGATATGAACTGTGAGGATCAATGGTAAAAAACAATCCTACTGATTAACAGCAGGCATTTTACCTCTCTCGTCTTACATTTGGTCGCGAAGTCAACGAACGACTTTTCCGACCCAGTGGGCGACACGACACTGTGATAACCACGACTATCATACAGCCTTCTGAAATTTGTTTATTGTAGTTTCTTAGTCACAACAAACTTTGGGATAATTACATTATCCATAATCATACAATCTACCCAAGTTTTAAATTCATGCGACAGAAATATCTTTAGCTGATAAACACCTTGTTCGGGAATACTCCTCTAACCTGCAATGAGTAGTAAAGGTGATTCAACTGAAGACATATGAACAATAGGAGTAAACAAGTCAAAATCTAATTTTACACCACTGTTACTCTCATCCTTTCTCATGTTAAAAAGCGTCCTGACAATCATGTAAACACACAAGGCTTGTCGAGTGACTGAAAAAACGTTTGGACATGTCTTACTAGTTATCTATGACAATAATTACTATTATTGTTATCATCATGATTAAACAGTTCTCTCTATTTCTCCAGTCGTCACTCTCATTCATCCGCTGACCCCCACTTTTTGGTTCAACTGATCGCTTGATTTATTGATTCGCATTTTTACTTTTTAATTCTCTCCACTTCTACGGACTATAAATATATATTTTTGACAAAATAGCTGTTGAGTGTAGTAACCCTCCCGATTTTGGAGATGTGCATTGAACTGAAACCAAGGTAACTCAACTCTTCATTGAAACTATGGCATTTGGTTCTCTAGACTGTCTCCACTAGACGCTACAAAATCCTGGAACCGTACATTAACATATTGACGAAAAATTCAGGAAAGCAAACTAACATATTCGCGCTTGTTAAAAAAATGTACATTCAAGTATTTTTGATTCTTTTCTTCCTGTTTATGCTCTCTGAGCAACTAAAATATACTACTACTGTGCAAAGTCTGAGTCAATGCATTTTGTTTTATGTTGCATTCTGGATTGGAGACCTCTGACGCGCGCACTTTTCAAGAGCTTCGAGCGTGGGGATCGCACTATTAGATGGAATCGTCTGGTGGAGGTCGCGGTGGTTTTCGTGGTTCGTTTGGAGCTAGAGGAAGGGGACGTGGACGAGGGCGTGGTCGTGGACGAGGTCGTGGTCGTGGAGTTGCAACAAAAGAATGGAAGCCTGTTACCCAGTTGGGACGTCTGGTATTCGACAGGAAAATCACTACATTAGAAGAAATTTACATGTTCAGTCTCCCAATTAAGGAGTGTGAAATTGTAGATACCATATTGGGTTCAAGTTTAAAAGATGAAGTCCTCAAAATCATGCCAGTTCAAAAGCAGACTTGTGCTGGTCAGAGAACCCGTTTTAAAGCAATTGTTGCAATGGGGGACCATAACTGTCACGTTGGGCTAGGCGTTAAATGTGCTAAGGAGGTCGCTACAGCTATTAGAGGTGCTATTATTCAGGCAAAGCTGTCAATAATTCCTGTAAGGAAAGGGTACTGGGGTAATCAGATTGGAAAACCACACACTGTTCCATGTAAAGTGACTGGAAAATGTGGTTCTGTGTCAGTACGTTTGATCCCAGCCCCTCGTGGGACAGGTATTGTTGGTGCTCCAGTTCCTAAAAAACTCCTTCAAATGGCTGGTATCGATGATGTGTACACAAGTGCTCGGGGTCAGACCTCAACCTTGGGAAATTTCGGTAAGTTCATTTATTGTCATGTAACTAAACTCAACCTTCAGCTAAAGCAACATACGCAGCCATACGAGCTACCTATGAGTATCTAACACCTGATTTGTGGGACGTGGTTCCAAAAACAAAACACATATTTGTTGAATATGCTGGATATCTTAACAAAATTGCTAAGGAAGTTTGAATGATAATATATGTTGGTGGATATTAATTTGTTCTGTTAATGTAAGTTTGCAGTGGTATAACAGTTTTCTGCATAAATTTGTTTCGCGAGTCCACCCAAGAAAGCTTTCCGTAAGATATTTACAAAACGGGTTCTTAAACGAAAAACGACTGTCATTTAATTAATAAAACTAACGTGCACATATGTCTTCCCATGAAAATTAAAAATTTAACCAATGTTTCGTGACTTGCGTAGATTGTGTTAAGTATTTGATACAGTGCTACAAAGTTTGTCTGACAAGTAAAAACGTTGGTAGATTCTTTCACGAAGTTATCAGTCTGATACCAGGTCTTGTTCAGTCTCAATATTGGTGCTTTAAGGTTCGTGTGTGCTCCACTTTTGGCTCGGTATGGGAATTTGAACTTCGGACACCATAAGAAAAAGTTTTGTGCTCAGTCGGTAGTTTTTAAAAGAGGAAATACTGATTCATGTTTTCAGGCGTTGCGCAGCTTGACCCTCGGCTCATAGATGCAATGCATTTTACCTGAACTGATGTTTCTAGTTATTATGCTGCCAGTTCTTTATTCAATGGGTATTTCATTCGGTTATGAATTTCTCGCTGAGCTTTCTATACACATATCTTAGATTGGCTGTCGTTGTCTCTGAGTCTTTAGAATATTTCAATGCCTGCAATAGTAATATGTCAAAGTGAGGTACAGAAGTGTGATATCCGTCTCAGTGGGTTTTGGCTGTGGTCGTCTCTGGAGCAGGTTGGACAGTCATTCGTTTTTTCTTTCAGACCCAACCAGTTGTGTGCCGTCACTCTTAGATCATATAATGAATATGCGGGACAGTAAAAATAGAAAATAAAACCATCCAGAAACCAAATTATTGTCTTATTAGTAAGTTTTTTACGCGTCATCTGGATTCGTTCACAAACCTTGGTACTTTAGTCAAAAACCTTAATTAAAACTCGAGGTAGTCAGTAACTTTCCATATTTGGTGTGTTTGCAGCAAATCTTTCGTTTATTATTTTCATCTAAGTTCTCTGTTATTCGTTCGAGAAATAAATCAGCTCTGCCGATAAATTCAGATCCTTTGTGATACTATCTTAACAATACGTGTTTCGTCAGCTGTGGGCGGAGCTATTGAATCATTATCATAAACTGAGAATTGTCTCATTACAAAGTACTTGCACTCGCTCTAGATCACCAAGCTACCCTGAGATTGGTAACTTTCAAGTTTACAAGATAAATATGATTAAGTTTAATTACTCCGATTAACATAACTTGTTTCGTGCTTGGTTAAACATCTATAGGACTATGTATCTAACAGTTAATTGGCTTCATCAAATCATGGTGAAATTCGTCTATACAGTAGTTATGTAGTCGTTCATAAGAAGTGATCTACGAAGGAAACATTGGTATGTTTAACCACTATAGATTTGTACTGATAGGAATAATATAATTATTTGACGCATAAACTCATGTTTTTCACATGTTTATGAAACTGCTTAGATAGTCATCTGTAGGAGAAATAAATCAATCTATATATTTTCAAAACAAGCTTACAAATCATTTTAGGTTGGCACCGTAGATGACCAGTTCATGTCTCTAAATTCAGTTCATGGGCTTACTTATCATTGTAGTTTAAAAGGTATCAAGGAAAAGAACCTCAATTTAGCCTAGGGTTGCTAACTTGTGTACAGCCTAGTATTTCCTGGTCTCTATTTTCATCTCAGAAAATAACCAATAAGTGTAGCACCCTACATTTAGGGAGGTTTTGTCGTAGCATTATGATACCTGAAAATTAGGCCTAAAAGTCAGGTCTTAATTGATTAAAGAATGAACGACCTACGAGCTTATTCATTTTAAATGCCTATGACACTTTACGGTGTTCATTTTATGTTTATCTGTATATAAACGTGTCACTTTATTACCTAGAAATCCTTTGGCTAGTGGCCTTGTCTCTTCTAACCATTCGGGGTCTCCAGTTAGGTATGGTCTTGTGAGTAGCCATAAATCGGTATTATTACTTCATAGCATTTGTCTGCCGATTAACATTCTTTTCATCGAGTTTAACAGAAAATCGCCATAGCAGAAAGTTATATTCGTTTGGTCAGTTCCATTTTCAGTTTATTTCCTGAATAGAAATCTGTGTCATAATCGATAATGAAATGGGGGTCACGCGCAAAACTTGTTTTTGCGGGTTCAAGGATTTGATTTGAATTTTTACAAATTATGGTTCCCTTTCCTCTTCACCAGGCTTTCTTGAAGAATTGTAACATACGGTATCAAGGGACTCAGCAGTGCGCATCTACGGTCCCGCACGCGGGACTCGAATGCAGGACTGCGCAAACACTTAACCACTGGACAACCGGTTTCTAATTCAACTGTTATAATGGATCTGGTCATAATACAAACCACCGAAAATTTCACTGACATAGATTATAATTAGATGTTTTGCTTCATATGCACCTTTATAGTTGTTGGCAGCATAATTTGTATGTATTTGCTGTATATTTCATAACAGCATTGTAGTAATGCTGGATACTAGTAAAACTGTGCTGACTGATGACTAATCTACAAATATTATAGTCTAGACATTGTGGTCACATAAACATTGGTTTACATTACCTTCAATAAGAGCTGTTTACCCGGACGTTCAAACATTCGTAATAGTACATCATTCAATGTATCACTCGAATCCTCACTCTGTGCCTGTTTTTTATATGAAAATTAAGCTGGTATACGTTCACCAAAATATAAAGTTAACCCCTATGATCACTCATTCAAACAAGTATGTATCGGTCGCTACCAAAAGCCACTGTATGGTTAGATCATTAAGTATAACACCCATGATAGTTCCTCAATGTCATCCACCAGAATGTGTTCGAACCCAACAATGCTATTTATTTGTTTAAACGCAAACATTGGTACAAGGGGACATCAAGTACGTATGCGCCACACAATGACAATGAGCCCAGTAGCAATTGCCGTTGGTGTGTGTGAGAGCTGTGGTACTGCCCGGGTGCCCAGACCGAAGCAGGTGCTTCTCTTATTGGGCCACACCCCGAGTCTTTGACCTAAAGGTCTAGTCCTTAATACAGTGGAGTGACTTTAGGAGATGCAGTTCCTTGGTAGCCGGTAACCAAAAATGGGTTCGCACGCCTTTTTCTCCTCAGGATCCTGGAGCCCATTGATTTGGAATCAGGGTTTTCCAACCACGTCATGTGGATCCTCCGTATTCACCAACTCGGTTAGAGCGTCGGACATTTACTTTGCGTCCTCTCCGTTTCGTAACCGACACCCTCGCCACGTTAGGGATTCTCTGACAGTGGCTGTATACATGTGGTCATATGAGAGCAATTTGAGGAGGGCAGACTATTCACCATCGGCTGTACCAGGACATCCATATTCCAGTTATAATTCACTAAGTCCTAATCCTACGTTTTTAAAATATGAGACAATTAGTAGAATATTCCCCGGTAGTTTTGGTTAAATATTTCTTATGAAACCATGATTTTTACATTAAATAGTTCAGTGCTTTCTCGGATTTTTTTATGTGGCTGTATATTTTGAAATGTAAATCAGTGTCAATTGCATGTATACAAATATTTCGTCATCATTAATGGTAATGACTCACTCGTAGCCTTTATTTCGTCAGTCATTTTTCATAAGCAGTTTCTCACTATTTTAGTATCTAAGTACAAACATTAAATTCAATCAATCAATAAGAGACAGCTGTATCCATTTTCAAACGTAATTAACTTTAGCCTACTTGTAAACCGTTGCTCTTCACAGTGAAGTGATATTTTCCTACTACATATACAATTTAGTGAATATGGAGACGGTTTCTTTCAAAGTGCTATAGTTTCGCGCCGAAGATTTCGAAAATAACAATGAAAGCTCAAATAAATCACCTAGCTCAGATTATATTATCACCAAAAGCATCTAGCTTAGTCACAAATCTCCCCCATGACATCCTACTATATAATACTTGGGAATTACTTATATCAACTTGCAAACGAAATAACTAGCGTTATTGGAAGCAGTAATCCCTTAAAGTGAAGGATAGTATAATTCCTAAGTGGGATTTTATTTATCATAAGCTTTTTAGGGCTTAAACGCTGGTGAGTAGACATCAGTATAAGTTTGTTGTTTGTATTTCAAACTTGAAGACAACAACCTGCCTAACAATGAATATGGAGTCTTCGGTTAAAGTTATTACAGTATATCGTAGATTAAGGTAGTGGCGTCAATATTACTCGTCATGAACCTTGAGTTTGTAGTCAGTTTAGTAATCTTCGCAAAACGATTGGAAGAGGTCAGTCTGAAAAAAATTATGCACCAAACCATATTATGGTCTACAACGCACTCTCATACGTCCTTCGGTATCAAGGATGCGTCGTTATGACTGGCCGGTTAATTATGCGTCTACAAGTTCAGTTGCTCTTACGGAGCAAGCTACGCACATCGCTCGTCAAACCTTTTCGTTCTTTGATTTTAAAAATTACAAAATGGTTTAGGAACGGACAGCGTACGCAAGTTATACCTTTCCTCCAACTTACAGCAAATTTAGGTAAACTTAAATATTTCCTTTGAAATTACCAACAAAATCCTATCTAACTTTCAAAAGGATAATATCTGGATCTACTTTGTGATACAGCTCAGTACAGATCCGTGTACTCGGCTGCGAGTCATTTTATGTGTAGGTTTTTGTCGTATTGCTCGGCTTCCCAAGTCGAAGTAGGTAGGATTTGAAACTGACTGGATGTTTGAGAGTCGAGATTTAAAACCAAGAATCCACCATTATGACTAATCCTGTGATAAAAAAGCCTTAGCGATCCACAATTTACCATTAGGGCTACGTGCATAAATAGTTTGTTGGTTTCTCATCGATAACAATACATTATGATAGGTTATTTCTACTTAGTGAATACATAACACAACATTTGATTATCATGAAAGTGATCTCTTACTATTCACATCGTTAAGAAATTATATTTGCGAATACAAGATATTTTAGAGTAGTTTAATCCGAAGACTATGCATCTAAACTTTAAGACAATAATTCTCAGGACTATCCAATCCCAATAATCCTAATGTAGTGAAAATTTAAAAAGCTCAGCAAATATAAGTGGTATATACTATGTCGTCGAATAATGTGCATCATCTTACTTCAGTGATATTCCACTTAC